TCTGTAGAAGTTGAAGAATATGGTTTAGCATTTTCTTCATTTTAGTGCTAGGAGCAATACCTGAATTAGGCATACACCAACTCCTATATGCATATGTTCCACCATCTCACTTTGGAAGAAGTTGGCTACTATGCAAGAAGTTTAGAAGTGTGGCAAATCCTCATCTGCACCAAGATTCCAAACACTGATGCCATGCGGCTCATAAGCTGGGCCTGGCTATCTCAGATCCCTGTGCTTGCTCAAATGTGGAGAGCTTCAATTAATGAAGAAGGCTGCAGAGTACTAACAACAATGGTCTGTTTCTATGTAACAAAACTCATGGCTGGCCACTTTCGATGCCATGCCTTTGGAATTAGCTAAACTTGGTATGTGCTTTCATTGTAAAGAAAGGAATGTACAGTGACTTTAACATTTGTATAAATAAAGGGCAACCTGGTTAAAAAGATCATCCACTATATATAACATTTAAGGAAATGGCCATTTCTAATTTACTGTGAATTGCAGGTTCCCATATACCAATTAAGCGTTTCAATATAGTAAGAAAAGCTTGGAGGTCGTTGACTGGTAAAACTATGGATGTTAATGGAAATTTGCCTCACAAAAGTAATGTGCATTGATTTTGCAATGTCAACTGCTATGCAAGGAGTAATGCAGCCTCCATGTCAGGAGGCTCAGGTAGGTTTTACTATTATTTTTTTAATTTAAAAAGTTCAGATGCAGCCTTCCAAAGCCAGACTTCTATAAGATTACCACCAGTTCAGCTACTTCAGTTCTGCTGGCACGATGCTCACGTAATTATCATTGTTGTATGAGTAACTAATGCCACCAAGTTAACTTTTTAAATATCCTCTTTGATCTGCTCTGCATTTACTAATGAAAGTCAAAGATCACTGTGTCTCAACAGATAGATAGATACAACTCTTGATTGCTTTGAGGTTTCAGAAAGCTGCACTATCACTAAAGAGCTATAGGATCAGACTTATACATTGGTTTGTAGCTTTTCCTTCAGGAATCTCATCAAAATGCTTTGGGGTTTGGGTTTACTTTTTGTCAAATTGAAGGTATTTTCAGTGGTCTCATCAATGTTACCAAGCCCCCAGAAGTCACAGTCAAAACTTCCAAACTAAACCAACTTATTAAACTGTTGTTCCCTATCATTCCACATATCTGGGTTTCCTTCCAGAGGAATAAGGAGTTGATGTGCCTTCAGTCTCATTCCACTAAGGCAGCTCTTGTGTAAGAAAGATGAGTGTGATGATAAAGGTATGGAGTAAAGGAGGGGAGACCAGACAGGAGTGGAGGTACTCCTCAGTTCTACAGAATTCTGTCTTAGGATTGTCAGTAGCGTATCTATCTAAATTACTGTGGAGCTGAAAGGTCTCTTTATCGTAATTCCAGTAGTAAAATATACTTACAGATAGTTTGCCAAGTTGTGTTCTTGCAAAGTATGTGTTTCAAAGCCATGTGGGGTTGTGTCAAAATAGTCGTTGCCGATTCCACAAATAAAACATTTGGTCTGGAAACACAAGTTGTGGCTACAAATCAGTTTTATCTCAAAGACACTATTTTAACTGGCTACAATCTAGATGAGAAAGAATAACGAAAAATATAGCGTGATTCCTCATACCTCCATGTCTTCTCTCACTTGTTCTTGCTGGTCTCTTAATTCACCAAAAGCATCAATGATCAGACCTATTTCAAATAGAAAATAGCAACATTTCAGCACTTAGCAATTTTCATATTTCAAGTAACATCTCCCATATATCCTCCATTGTCTTTGGAGTTCAGTGTACTTATGTCTAGGTTGAAAAATTCAAGGTACAATTATCAATTTCCAGACATCTAACATTTGTTTACACCACTCTCCTAGCAATAAGAATTTCTCTTACATAGATGTACAATATTCAGAGTGGAAAGGCTTTTCTGTTCTTACATTTTAGTCAGTTTGAGCTTCCATAATCTTTTTTGTTCCTGTGAAAAAAAGTTTTATTTTCATTCTCTTTCTCTTGGAACTCTTGTATCTCAGCTTTTGTTCCACAAAGACAACTCTGTTCCCACATGGCCCCCCAAGCAAGTTTGTGATGCTGCATCACATTTGAAGCATTATTCTGCCACTTCCGATACACTAAGGATAGAGTTGGATCATTTTGGAACTGTGACATTCCTCATTTTTTCTCTGTTTTTTTCTTTGCCACCAGATTGCTATAAACTGGTGTGTTTTCTGAACAGCCTTAGGTCAGGTTGTACAATGAGTGTTGAACATCAACAGTCATTGAATGGAGGTCTGTCCTGTTTTCTGTAAACCACAGCTTCAAACCAATTAAAACTGCAAATCGTCCTCTATAAAAAGGAGGAAATGGGTATGTGGCCATGGTGACTTTCTTCATGTCCTTTCCCTTTTTCAAGGGGAAAGTCTCCATTCTCCAGCCAGCTGTGGTGGTTCCAAGCTAAAGGTGTGAAGAGTACTCTCCCAAGATTAAATGGTTATTACCAATGCAAGAACAGGGATCCTGCACAAGCTGCATCACTTGTGGATAGCTGTCACAGTGTAACCGTAACCCGGTTGAGTTATGTTTCTTGTG